TTCCTTTCCCGCTTCCCTCCCTTCTGTCCAGGACCCTTCCTCATCTCGGTAATCAGCCATCTCAACGAATGTTGATCTATCGCTCTGCCCAAGGCTGCTCTACGTAATTCCTCCCCCACTCTCTCTGCTGCGGTTGCTCCAGGTAGGTACCCCATGCCCAGCTCGCGCTCCAAAGCTGTTGGCTCTTCCCATCTCTTCTTGCGGTGGTCATATACCATCCCGAGGCCCGGTGTTCCCTCCTGCTCTATGAAACCCCGTGCTCCTGAATACGCCACCAGTGTTGGCCAGGCTCTTCGCGCCTCCCCCACCCGGTTGCACTGGTATTGCAGAGGATGATCAGGTTTGCTCACTGGTGCGGCCACCCTCCCTGGTTCTAGAATATCCTCCACAATCCTCGTCTCATCTCTTTCCACCCTTGCTAACCGTGCTCGCAGCTCCCGTTCTGGCAGGACATTTTGCCAGAACCGTCTGACCCGATGAGTTCGTGCCCCCAGCTGAGCACCGTCACAGCTAACTCCTCTTCCCAGTTCTGCTTCCACCAGCTCTCGCACCGCTCTGACCGGCTCTCGGGCATCACCCCTCATATCCACATGTTCTAAGATGTATGCATACTCCCCGCCAGCCTCCCTCATCCATCTCATAATCGCTAGCAATTTTGTCACCAACCCCGTGCGCTCATCCTGCATTCCCCTTCCCTTCCCCGCTCTGGATGTACCCTGACACTCCCATCCGGCTACTAACAGGTCCACCTTTCCCCAGCTTCCCACATCCTCCTTGGTGATGTGCTTCACATCCCACTTGTTGTTCTGCATGGCCTCTCGTAGCACACTCTTCGTCAGCTGGGCAGGGTATCGTTGCTGCAACGTCTGCGCGTGCTTCCAAGCCATCCTCCTCACGTCCGGATCTATCTCCACATATATCCACCTTTCCACCTTCAGGCCTGCCTCCAGTGCTGCTGCTAAGCCTGCTCCCAGCCCCCCGAACAGCTCCACTAGCGTGACACTGTACTGGTCTAAGCTTGCTCCAGTTTTGCCTTCCTCTGCACTCCCATCTCGTTTGCTTCCTTCTTCTCTCATGCCTTCTGCCCTCCAGGCCTTCTTTGGTTCTGTCTTAATGAACCGCACTGGCAGCTCACTCAGCTCCTTCCCTTCCTCCCAAAAATCTGATCGGTATAGTACTTGCTCCTGCCAGGTACATATCGTGGTTCCTATCTTGTACAACAGCTCCATCCCCAGCAGAATATCGTAGTCGTCTGATTCAGTCAACCTGCATTGCACCCTTATCTTCGTTTCTCCCTCCCCTCCTGGCTGCAGAGTTATCTCGATTGGCTCCTTGGTGCAGGGCATCCACTTGGGTGCTCCTCCTTCGGCTGTCATGATTAGTATTCCCCGACTCACTGTCTCCAAATTACCCTGCGTCCGCAGCTGCTCTGTCAGCTTCCTCCCAAGCAGCACACTCTGTGCGCTCGTGTCCACCACTGCGTTCTCCACTAGTATCCCTCTCACGGCCACTGCCTTGGGCTCTACCACCAAAGCTGTGGGCTGACAGACTAGCCTCTCTTCCGGATGTCGCCGCGCCGTCCTAGGCTTGCTGGTCCTCTCATGTTGCTTAGGAGTTCTTCTCTCCTGCTGCCTCTGCTCCGCTCTGCCGTCCACCCCTCCGCTCCTTAACCCCAGGCTCTCTCGATCCCTCGGTTGCATGGCCATTACTCCATACTCCGGCTCTTCCTCCTCGAAACCTTCTTCTTCTTCGTCCTCCCACGCTAGCAGAGCTTTCTCAGGATCTTCGCTAATCTCAGCCTTCCCCATCTGTGCCTTCAACTTCGCTAGCTCTCGCTCCAGCTGCAGCTCCCTTGCTGATTTCCCCCCCACCTTCTCTCTCTTGCTGTAGCACTTTTCTTCCTTATGACCTCGTTTCCCACAGCCGGTGCAGATTGGAGCCTTAGGATTGTCGCGCCTGAAATGTCCTTTCACTCCGCATGTGTCGCACACGTTGTCGATGGCGCAGTCCTTCCGCACATGCCCCTTTTCTCCGCACTTGTGACACCGTCGCCTATCTTCAAACGGCCTATCTCTTCGTTCCTCCTCCACCCGTCTTCCTTCCACAGCAGCCCAAGCAGGTCTCCTGCGTTCGCTTGGTCGACTGTTGCTCGCTCCTCGCAAACCATCAAAGAATCTCGTTCCCTCTTTTACTTCCTTCGCCACTTGGTACACCTGCCGCAACTTCGCTTTCATCCCCAACGCATACAGTCGGCTTCTCATGTCTTGCATCAGGTCCTCCTCAAGGCCGCCCACGAACTTGGACACCAAGGTACGTTCTTCTACGCAACCCATATCTTCCGCCAGCTCCAACAATCGATTGTAATAGGCTAGCAGAGATTCAGCTCTCGTCCTCTTAAAATCCTGAAACTCCGTCATCCGCTCTGCCGAATGCCCCGGGAATTGTTCTCGCATACTCTCCAAGAATCGGTCAATGATCTCAGTCGGTGGGAAGTCTCCTCGCCGGCTCTGCATCAACAGTCCCTGCCTCTCCACTCGATAGTGTGTCAACGCCTCTCCCTTGAGAGTTCTCCCCAAGCCTCTAATAAATTCAATGGGATCCAGTCCCTCCCTCTCCCAGCAGTAACAGATGTCGTCCACCATCATGAGATAATTCTTGAGCGTGGGCTCTTCTCCAGGTGCTCCCGAGAAGCGATCTGGCACCTCGATCTTAGGAGGCGCAACGCTCATCGTTCTTCCTGTCCCCCAGCTGGCTGTTCCCCTCTCGCCACTCCCAACAGACCGATCTCCTCGTCCTGCCTCCATGGACTCGTACCTTCCCGCCGAAAAGCCGTGATCCGCCTCTCCTTCTCGCTGATTTCGCCGATCTTTGTGATTGTTTCCTCCTCTCGGTTCTGGTGTTACGCGCTGAGATCCGCCACCCCCAACCGATCTGGACCCATTCCCTAGATCGGGTGAATTGCAGGTCGAATTCGGTGGCTGCTCTCCCTGTCCGTCTCCATCCTTCACTTGATCCACGCTCCTGCTATTGCGCACGTTCACAACTCCTTCGCCTGCCCGAAACCCGGCCGTCACGGTCGGCTGACCTTGTCCCATCATCCGCGCGGGAAATCTGTGACCCGAGCGCAGTTGATGAGTGTGTAGTTGTTGATCAGGGCCAGTCATCCCCTACGGTGCATCACCGTAGCAACTCCAGGCGTCAGTGCCTGTCCGCTGAAATCTCAGCACCACGCTGTTTGCTTGTATGAAACAAGTCTTAATCCTCCCTAGCAAGGGCTCCGTCAGATTGCCTCAGCTCCTCGCTCCTGCTGTGTTTCCTTGGATTGGAAAACAAGATTGCAGTAATAGAGAAACATACAAGCAAAAAGCGAGTGAATCAGAATCCTCCCTAGCAATTCTACCCTGCTCTCCCTCCTGCCTATCCTCTGCCTAGTGGCTTTGAGCCTCCGAGCTCTCTGAGCTAGTCACGAGGAATTCCAGGAGCTAGCTGGCTCGAGCTGGGACCCACTGGGCATGCACCGCCATCCAGGCTGGTTGGCGGTGAATTCAATTGCCAGCTTCGAATCCAATTCGAATTCAGTTGCCAGCTTCGAATTCAATTGCCTGAGCTCGCCCTCCACCTGCCAAACTCCTCCTGCTCGACCCCTCCCTCACCAACTCGCCTCCCAAATTACAGATAAGAGTATAGTACAGTAAACTGCGTGAAAGCAAGAAAGCAAAGAAAGAAATTAACAAAGGTTAACAACACTATCCCACTTACCCTAGCCTAGCTGCTGTGTTAAGTGCGTCTGACCCACCGGTTAGCCGCACTCAGCGCGACACTTCTCCCCGCCTTCCTTCTCCCCCCACCTGTCTTCTCCCCACCTGTGTGCAGCTGCTAGCGAGGGTGACAGCAAGCATAGCGCGCACAGGCGTTGTCATCTCCAGGGTAATCCCACTGCTGCTACCTGCTCTCTGCTGCTACCTGCTTTCTGCTGCTACCTGCTCTCTGCTGCTACCTGCTCTCTGCTGCTACCTGCTCTCTGCTGCTACCTGCTCTCTGCTGCTACCTGCTCTCTGCTGCTACCTGCTCTCTGCTGCTACCTGCTCTCTGCTGCTACCTGCTCTCTGCTGCTACCTGCTCTCTGCTGCTACCTGCTCTCTGCTGCTACCTGCTCTCTGCTGCTACCTGCTCTCTGCTGCTACCTGCTCTCTGCTGCTACCTGCTCTCTGCTGCTACCTGCTCTCTGCTGCTACCTGCTCTCTGCTGCTACCTGCTCTCTGCTGCTACCTGCTCTCTGCTGCTACCTGCTCTCTGCTGCTACCGTGTGCTCTCTGCTGCTACCGTGTGCTCTCTGCTGCTACCGTGTGCTCTCTGCTGCTACCTGCTCTCTGCTGCTACCTGCTCTCTGCTGCTACCTGCTCTCTGCTGCTACCTGCTCTCTGCTGCTACCTGCTCTCTGCTGCTACCGTGTGCTCTCTGCTGCTACCGTGTGCTCTCTGCTGCTACCGTGTGCTCTCTGCTGCTACCGTGTGCTCTCTGCTGCTACCTGCTCTCTGCTGCTACCTGCTCTCTGCTGCTACCTGCTCTCTGCTGCTACCTGCTCTCTGCTGCTACCTGCTCTCTGCTGCTACCTGCTCTCTGCTGCTACCTGCTCTCTGCTGCTACCTGCTCTCTGCTGCTACCTGCTCTCTGCTGCTACCGTGTGCTCTCTGCTGCTACCGTGTGCTCTCTGCTGCTACCGTGTGCTCTCTGCTGCTACCTGCTCTCTGCTGCTACCTGCTCTCTGCTGCTACCTGCTCTCTGCTGCTACCTGCTCTCTGCTGCTACCTGCTCTCTGCTGCTACCTGCTCTCTGCTGCTACCGTGTGCTCTCTGCTGCTACCCTGTGCTCTCTGCTGCTACCGTGTGCTCTCTGTTGCTACCGTGTGCTCTCTGCTGCTACCGTGTGCTCTCTGCTGCTACCGTGTTCTCTCTGCTGCTACCGTTTGCTCTCTGCTGCTGTTTATTCAGTGGTTGCTAATGCCATTATCACTTTTTGGCTTCATTGTGCTTCTCAAACCTTATCCTCCCTCCATCCCCCATCTCACCTGTGACTCAACCACTCCAACCTCTCGTCGCTCTTGCCTGGGGTTGCAGGTTGACAGGGCGATTGTGCTGTTTTGAGACGTATCAAAACGTGATACGTGCTTTTCCTCCCCTCCGACCCACCTGTGACTCAACCCTTCCATTCTCTCGTCGCTCTTGGGAGGGGGTGCAGATTGACAGGGCAGTTGTGCTGTTTGGGAAGCATGCTGTGGTTGCTCCAGCCTTCATTGGCACTCTAGCAGGTACGGCACTCTAGCAGGTACGGCACTCTAGCAGGTACGGCACTCTAGCAGGTACGGCGCTCTAGCAGGTACGGCACTCTAGCAGGTACGGCACTCTCGCACGCAGGTACGGCACTCTCGCAGGTACGGCGCTCTCGCAGGTACGGCACTCTCCTCACCCCACCTGTATTCTGTGTGTTTCCCTTCCCACACCCCCCTCCCTTTTTGTATTTCACTCCCCCCACCATCACCAGGCTGTAGCGGTCGCGTTGTCTTGGACCTCCTTCTCACCCTCCTCACTCCCCTCCTCATCCCGCTCTCTCCTTGCATCACGCTGTGCTTTGGCTCTTGTGTGCATCCCTCCCTCCCCCACTTCCCCTTCACACACCACCCTCCCCGATCACCAGGCTGTGGGGGTCGCCTCATCTTGGACCTCGTTCTTTCTCTCCTCACTCCATCGCCTCCCTCTCACGCTGAGCTCCTCTACCCTTCCTGGTTTGTCTCTGCAACGAAGCCTTGAAGAAGGCAGTTGATCACGTGCAAGCCATGTGCAGAGCCATGTGCAGAACCATGTGCAGAGCCATGCGCAGAGCCATGCGCTACCACTGCTGCCCGCTGTCACACGCACCCCCGCAATGTCAATCAACCGTCTTCCCTCCTCGCGCACTCCTTCTCCCCTCAGGCTCTCCCCTTAGGCTTGTCCATCTCCTGTCATTCGCCAACACTCTGGCCAGGAGACGATTGTTTAGGCACCACTGTTTTGCCTTGTACCACCCGCCTCCCGCCCCCAGGCTCTCCCGCTCGGCATTCCTCATGGCACTGGGCTACACCCTGACCGTCCACTGGACCACCTGCTGCACCTCCCAGGCTGCCTTTGCTGCCATCGCCTCCCTCCTCGTATGCTCGCTGCCTGTCCGGGCATTATTTCTCTCTTGTCAAGACATGTCATCGTTTACCTTTTCTGCCCTGGCACTGTATCTCTCTGGTTGGCTCCTGCATTGCTACGGTGCTGCTATCGCACCCTTCTCCCCTTCGCTCCACTCTCCTCCACTCGTCCTCCCAGCCTGCAACCTCGTCCGCCCATGCTGCTGTTGGTTCCCCGCCTGTTTCTTAAGAATAGGTGGAAAGCTATTCTAGGAAGAGAGCAAGGCGACGAGAAAAAAAAGAGACCACATGAAGTGAGGAACATGAAATAGGAGTCCAAGAAAAATGAGAGGGAAGCCAGATTTGCCCAGCTAGCCAAACCTTGCCTTCCAGCCAAACTGGCTAGGCGGCCAAGTTGAGGAGGCTAGGCAACACACTCCATGGGGTGCCTTGGGCGAGCAGCACCACTCTCCCGAATTTGCTCCTTTTTTCTCCACTTTTTCCTTCCCATATATTTCTGCCCCTCCCCTTCTCTCCAGATGGCCCACAGCACATGGGAGGTCGTTTCAGGCTCGCCTTGGGACCCCACTGCACCGCTCTCCGCCCTCTTCCACTCCCTGCTGTCAGTCCCCCCCCTTGTCGCCTTCCATCACTTCTCCATGCCCTCACCTGCCGTGCCCTCACCTGCCGTGCACTCCCTATCATCCCATTCCCCTCACTTGGTTTGCCACCCACACAGCTGCTTGCCTTTACCTCACACGGGGCATGCCCACATGTCCACATTTCATGTTGCAGCATCCTTGTGCTTACCACCTCGTCCTTGCTCTCATCTTCCCCACCTCTCTCTGCCCCCCAGCTTTTACTCCACTCCTTCATACCGGTACCTCCCCCCGTGGCAGTCTTCTCATCCGTCCCCACCCACTCCTCTCTCATCCTTCCTATCACTCTTTCCCACCCCAATCCAGGTGCATCCCACTCCCTCCTGCCACCCTCCCATCACCCAAGCCCCATGCCCCTGACTCCACCACCACACCATCAGCACTTCCCCACCCTCCAGCCCAACTTAACGGCCACAGCAGCGGCAGAGGGCAGGGTGGGTGGCAGGGCACGCAGCAGCAGAGGCGAGTGGAGGAAGAGAGCAGCGGTGGCATGGGGAGCAGTGCTGTGCGGGACAAAGCAGCCCGGCACAGGAAGCCCCAGCGGGCGTGAGTGAGCCTAGTGGCTGATTTTGGGGCCCCTCAAACAAGGGCGACAGTGTGGTTGGAAGCGGTCTTGCGAGAGGCAAAGCAGCGCGGCACAGGAAGCCCAAGCAGGCATGAGTGAGCCCTGCGGCTTATTCTGAGGTCTATCAAAAGAAGGCTATTGTTGGTTGAAAGATTTTTTTCATTTATTTATTGCTGTAAGGGTTTTTCAACGAGCTGCTTTCTTATGGTGTTTAACCACCCAGAGCTTCTGCACTCCAGCATTGCTTTTCCAGCATTGCTATGGTACCTCACATAGCGGAGCGTTTTTCCTCTGGTACAGAGACGATTGAAACCTTGCAGTTGCAGCACAACCTTGCTCTCGCCTCCTAATTGCTGTTGAGGTACAGTAGCATGTCGTTCTCCTGTGGCTCATACCGGTATTAACAAAAACGAAAGGCATGAAGCCATAGCGTACCGGTACGGTATGATTGCATGCTGCTGAGATTAGTATGCATGCGCCATTATCACCCCAGGGAGCATGTGATACCTGGGAGCTGGAGCCTTGCACTAAATGAGGTTCCTGCACCCTGCTGCCCCTGCAGCTACTGGGTACACATACGCAATTGCACTTTCTCAAGATGCATTTCCGTACAAACTTGGTTATGCCTTACAACTGTACAACGCACTGTTCCAGGATCCAGCTCCCGGGTGCTACTGTGCCAACTGCAACGCATGCTGCTGAAAGCCCCTATCTGTTTGCAGGAATGCGGTGTCACCGGAAAAGCGGCGGTCGAGATCGAACGGGCACCCTCTTCTCCATCTTGAGCCGTCGGTACGCCTCGCGGATGTGCGTGGGCCTGATGGGCCCCTCGTCGCCCCTCTCACCCATCACCAGGCGGGCTGCAGGGGTATGGAGGGGAGGGAGGTGGAGGGCTTATGGATGGAGCAAGATGAGAGCAATGATTAGGAATGAGATGAGAGTCGAGTCGGAATGGGTGGATGGGTGGGTGAGGGAAACGAGGCAGAGCGGAACGCAAAGCTGCTCACAACTCATTCCCCCCGGCCTCTTATTTCTCTGGCCCCTTCCTTGCCTCCAGTGATTAGGTCGACTCAAGAAATGCCCTTTCCATGCCCTCACCTCTCTCCACCAGCCTCCCCACCCGCAGCCTCCCCACCAGCAGCGGCATTGCAAGGACCACCCTCCCCATGCTCACTGCACTCACCTTATGTGTGCCTTGACCCCCTGTGCTGCATGCACCTTCTTTCGCACACACTAACTCACACACACACTTCCCCCATTTCTGCCCTCCTGCCATCTCACCCGTCCGTGTTCACCATCCCTCTCACCCTCTGCAACAGAAACGCCTGTTGCCATCCCACAACCCCGCCACCTCACCTGTCTCCACCATGACCCCCTAACGCCCTCTTTCTTTCTAGCCTGCCATCTCACCCCTTCCTCCCCCACCCACAGCTCACCCGTTTCCACGAGTTCGCCCACCATGAGCCTTGCCATACCTGCCATCACTATGAGTCAATCCGCAGCTGGGCATAAACCCCCATTGCCATCCCACCACTCTCCCATCCCCACCATCCGCCATCGCAGCTCACTGGTCTCCACGAGTTCGCCCACCATGAGCTTGCAACACAAGGCATAAACCCCTTAAGACCTCGTACAACCCCGCCATCCCATCTCACCCCACCCCCTCTCATCGCAGCTCACCCGTCTCCACGAGCTCGCCCACCATGAGCTTCGCCACGCCCGCCATCACAATGCCCAGCTGCGGACTCACTGTGCTGCCTGCCACCCCGTGCACCAGCTGCATGCGCCGTGCAGTGCGGTGGAGTGCGGTGCAATGGAGTGAGGTGGGGTGGGGTGGGGTGGAGTGGGGTGGGGTGGGGTGGGGTGGGGTGGGGTGGGGTGGGGTGGGGTGGGGTGGGGTGGGGTGGGGGAGATAGAAAGTGGAGAAGAAGAGAGTGGAGAAGTGAGATGCACACAACACACCCACCACTCGCGGACAGGGTAAGGCATGCAGCCACAGGCACAAGCGCGGAAACCATAGGAGAATATGGGGCCGAGAATGCTAAAGAGTTGAAGGCAGATGAAGCTTGACGGACTAGGGGGCAACCAGGAGAGCTAGGGGTATCGGAGACCAATGGGCACGGGAGCAGCTCAGCAGACAGTCAAAGAAAATAGAATAGCAGTGGAAGGAGGGATGCCCGTAACGTGAGTGAAAAAATGAGAATCGAAAAAACAGGATGGAACGGAAATGAACGATAACCACAAGCACAAGGAGACAGAAGAAGCTTAAGACGTACCCGTCGCATGCTGGCCTGCTTGAATCCTGACCGTCGATACGCCTCATAGCGGTTCATCTGCTCTGGTGTGAAGCGATCCAACAGCTCCCTGCCAGACATGGAGGGTAGGAGTGGGACGGATGGAGGGGAGGGTGGACGGGTCGAGTGTGGGAAGCTTATGATGGGTGCTGTGACCATGTCATGCGCTCATGTCACGACGGGTGCTGTCAGTGTGTCATGCGCTCATGTCGTGATGGGTGCTGGCAGTGCACCCACTCAGTGCATAACAGTGGCACTCACAGCTGGCACTTGCTGTGAGAAGTCCAAGTCTCAAGAATTGACTCACTGCATGGCAGCAGGGCTCATAGCCGGCACCCTTGTAAGGTCCAAGTCTAACCCCACCTGCTCCTCCTCCTCCTCCTCCCGCCCCATCCCCCCACCCGCTTCCCCCCCCGCCCCTCCTACCCCTTGCTCCCCCGCACTTCCTCCGCCACCCGCACCCTCTCCGCCTCCCCCATGTTCCTCCCCTTCCGCTCCCCCACCAGGCTCCGCGGAATCTGCGCCAGCACCCTCCGCAACAGTCGGTAGGCGCACCTCTCTTCCGCCCGTTCTCAGCTCCGCCTCTCCGCCATCCTCCCGCTGATCCGAGTCCGCAAACCCAACCGCCTTCCCCTTGCCCTTCCCCGCGCCGTCCTTCCCCGCCTTCTCTCCCCCTTTTCCGCCTTTCAGCGCGGATTTCAGCACAGCCGCGGAGCCGGCGGCAAGCCTTCCGCCAGCACTGCCGGCACCCTCGCGCGGCGAGCCCTCGCTGTGGAAGAATCGCCGGCTCGGGTCGTCGTCCGCGTTATTAGCCAGCTCCGCACTCTGGCCGTGGTCCGTTTTCGGCTTGACCTTGCTGATTTGCGACAGCTTTCGCTTCATCCCCGCATGAAGATCCATGGCTCGGCGCGCTGACGATCGGACATTTTGCTTGGCAGGCAGCAGAAGTAGAAGCCGCAGACGCGCGGAACAAACCAGCTGCCAGAAAGGAGCACGCAAAATTTTAGGGCGCGTTCCCTCCCTCGATCGATCTTCCCTCGTTCGATCGAGGGAGGGCTACAGTGTTGAAATTGACAGGGTAACCAGATTCCGAGATGGCTTGCGAATGTACAGTAACTGGTGCCCAACGATCTTGTCGCCTCCGCTGATGACGATCGATGTGCCTTCATGGCCACACCGATCTCGGCTTTTGTAGGATCGAGAGTTTTTCCCCCTTGTATTCTCGATCCTGTCACCCTTGGCTCGAGATTGATCCGCGATTGTCACCTCCTACCAAACCCGCCCCAATCATGCGATCAGTGTGCCCGATCGGTTTTTCACGGCGATTGAGGGAGGGGACGCGCCCTAAGATTGCAGCGAACGTTCGGGTCGGAAGCTAGGTCGACACAGCGCAGCACTGCTCGCACCGCTCCAGCACTGCATAGCAGCGGCTTGCAAACGTTGCAAGTACGCGGTGTGCCAACGCTGCAGTAAGTCGGCTGCACAGCGTTGCACCCGCATGACAACGGTGCACCTGCTTCGCAGATGCGCGCGGCTGGTTGGCGTGCCCAGCCCCGTCACGCGCACAGCACAGACACCACGCCAGCGATTGCGCCCACCAGCCACGTCGACCTCGGGATACCACCTCCGAGGTCGGCTTCGCAGAAACCGCCCCAGCGACAATCGCACACGTCGCCAGGATAACTTGGTCGACCGTGCAACCCCGACGACCAGCACCTTCTCCTCGCGCTCGTCGACCATCTAGGTCGTCGACCGCATTCTAGTCGCCGGCTGCACCAAGTCGGCGTCCCTTAAGTCGGCGCCGAGAAGTTGATGCCTCCGTAGTCGACCTCACCAGATCGACCACCCGCACCTCGGCGCCTTCCAGCCCGGCCTCCCATCATCGTCGACGTCGGCATCTTCCTTCGTCGACCACGTCCACCGGCCTCCAGTCGTCGGCGACTACGCAGTGGCCCCGTGCAGGTCGAACCACCCCGGTCGACCAGCCCGCCAAGTCGGCGACGCCCACTACAGCAGGTTGGCTGCACACCCCGCACAACCGACCACGAAGTCGGCTCCGCCCAAGCGAGGACGGGGCCAACAACAACTCCCGTTGACACTCCCCTGCCGCGTTCACACTTGGGCCCCCCAGCCCACATGGCAGCACTACTCGGAGAATAGCCCGTCGGCGTGCACCCAACACACAGCACGCCGGTCACCGCACCAGCCGTGCAGAAGGGCACGGCACCTACTGCTGCACGTCGTCGTCACCGTCGCCGACGTCGGCCAGGCGCACTTGGCCGATTGCGACGGAGCACCGGTTGAAGGCCAGATAGTGTAGCGCCAGGGCTGTCGATTGGTCTGGGTCCAACCCGTACGAAGCTGAGCTGCCCCAAAACCAGCCCTGATACGTCCGGGAAGTGGACGGAAATTCAGGGAATTTTTATTTACTGTTCTAAGAATCCATGCGTAAGAAAACGAAGTTCTTCGAGCTAGATATACATTAGAGAGCAGAGCACGCAAGGGAAACTGTAAGCGGCTGGTGTTGAAGTTCTTCGAGCTAGATATACATTAGAGAGCAGAGCACGCAAGGGAAACTGTAAGCGGCTGGTGTAGTTGGGAGGAGGGGAGAGGGACAGTGTTCGCGGACTAAGGTCAGGAAGAAAGGGGTAAGGGGAAAGGGGGGATGGGAGGGGGCAGGTAAGGGAAATCCGGGGGGGCCCAAAACCTGTCCGTTAGGAATCCGGTCCCGGGGAAAAACCAGCCCTGAAAATCTCCGAGTTGAGCTGAAACTAACCCTGAATTCTCAGGGAAAACGGACAAATGTCCGTGAATCGACAGGCCTGTGCAGCACCTTCGTCAGGAAGTCGGCCGGCTGCTCGGTGGTCGGGATGTACTGCAGCGAAAACTTCCCGCGCTTCACCATGTGCTGCAGCCAGGCGTAGCGTCGCTCCATGTGCTTGAGGTTGCCCGTCAGCCCCATGCCCTCGGCGACCGTGATGGCCGACTTGTTGTCCACCCGAAGGACGGTCGGCGTCCCTGCGTCCAGCTGCCGGAATTCTGCGAGGAGGAAGCGAAGGCGGCGTCCCTCCTTGCCGGCCTCGGTTGCCGACACAAACTCCGACTCGGTCGAGGACAACGTCGCGCACTTGATGCGCTGGCTCGACCAGGAGACTGCAGCCCCTCCGTAGACGAACACGTAGCCGCCCGTGCTCGTCCGGTTCTGCTTGTCGTCGGCGTCCACGTAGCCGACCAGCTCCAGCGTCTCTGGTCCACCGCCGAACTCTAAGGTGGTGTCACGAGTGTTGGCGAGGTAGGCGAGGCAGCGGTCGACCTCGCGCTAGTGCTGGTCGCTCCTCACCGTGAGTCCGCTCCCCAGCTTGCTGCAGGCGAAGGCGATGTCCGGCCTCGTCGTCGTCGCCGCGAACTGCAGCGAGCCGACCTTCTGCCGGTACTCCTCCTCCTAGCACTCCTGCGCCTCCTCGTCGACGAATGTCTGCTCGGCATGGCGTCGACGGAGACCGGCGCCTTAGGGGTGCGCTCGGTCTGTTCCTCGTCGATGAAACGCCTACGCAGCTTGTCGGCGTAGCCCTGCTGGTGCAGCCACAGCTTCCTCGCCAACTTGTCGCGCACGATCTCCAGCCCGAGGTACTTCTCCACCGGCGAGATCTCGTGCAATTCGAAGGCAGCCTCCAACAACTTCTTCAGCTCCTTCAGCATCTCAGTGCTGCTGCTGGCGGCTAGGAGGTCTTCGTCGTGACCAGCACCCAGCAGGCCACTCCGTCGTCGCCGACCTTGAAGTACAACGCCTCGTCGACCTGGCTCTTCTTCCAACCGGCGCCCTTCAGCACAGCATCTGCTTCAGCCCGTACAGGCTCTTCAGCAGCATGTGTCAAACTATATGCATGATATATTTGTGTAGGCTGCAGTGGGGTAGCCAATATGGGGTACAACCCCTAAACCCAACTCTCATTCAATGCATTCATTCCTGCCTAGACTTCTGACATGGTTTCAGAGCAGTAGGTCCGTAGGACCGTCTTTTTTTTCGGGCCCACCTACCGCTACCCCACGACTGTGACTGTGACTGTGCCTGTGACGTGCTGCGCTGCGCGCGCCGTCTGCCTGCTGTCTGCTGTCTGAGCTGTCTGCCTGCCTTGCCTGCTCCCTGCTGCTTGCCTTGCCTGCGCTGCGCCACCCGCGCGCGCCCTGCCTTGCCTGCGCTGCGCTGCCCGCGCGCGCCTTGCCTTGCCTGCGCGCGCCCTGCCATGCCTGCGTTACGCTGCCCGCGCGCGCTGCCCTAGACCCGCGCGCGCTACCCTAAATCTTGCGCAGCCCGCTACTGCCCCGAGCGCCACGTCCGCAGCCCGCAGCTGCCCAAGCGCCGCGGCCGCGGCCCTCGCGCAGCACGCTACTGCCCTGCGCGTCGCGTCCGCCGCCTGCGCAGCCCGCTGCTGCCCCGCGCGCCGCGTCCGCCGCCCGCGCAGCCCGCCGCTGCCCCGCGCGTCGCGTCCGCAGCCCTCGCGCGGCCCGGCACTGCCCCGCGCGCTGCCTCACCCGCTCGCGCAGCCCGCGGCTGCCCTGCGCGCAGCCTCAGCCGCCCTTGCGCGACCCGCTTCTTCCGCGCGCGCTGCCTCTGCCGCTTGCGCAGCCCGCGGCTGCCTCGCGCGCCGTCCTACTCTGGCCGCGGGCCGCCCTGTCCTGATCGTGCACAGCCTTGACTTACCTTAGTGCCTCCTCGCAGCCCTTCCTTCCCTACGGCCTGCCCTACTGGTCCCATGATTCCTCTTCACGGCAGCGGTGGGAGCGGTGGTGGAGGTGGCGTCCGTAGTGGTCGTCGCTTTGGAGCTGTTCGGCACGGAGTATCTGGCGGCGGCCAGACGCAGCTGCAGCGTTGTCCGAACGAGACCCTCACACCCGCGCAGCTTCGTGAGTGGTACGCTCGTAGGTGTGGTGGCGGTGGCGGTAGTAGCAGTCGCGGTGCAGCTGGTCAGTGCGGAGTTTCTGGCGGTGGCCAGATGCAGCTGCAGCGGCGTCCGCGCGAGACCCTTACGCCCCGGCAGCTGCATGAGTGGTACGCTCAGAGTTGGGGGTGTAGGACTACTGCTCGCTGCCCGTACGTCATTCGCACAGGTGATCGGGCTGGTCAGACCTGCGGGACAGTTAGTTAGGCACACCGAGTCCAGCTACTTCTCCCGTTTGAGTGACGCTTGGCGAGCACGGTTTGGCGACGAGGCTGAGCTACCCCTCTGGCTAGAGCTGCTTCGAGACGGAGTAGATATATTTGCTCTAGACTATGACACTATCCTTACTGCCATGTATGCTCTGACTGGTACTACTGAGGGTGACTGTTACCTGTGTGTGCCCCCTGACCCTGGTATAGCGGCTGCTGCTCTAGGTGCTAGTGAGTCTGCTCTCTCTGGTACTGCGCCTGCTGAGGCTTTGCACACCTTCACGCTTGACTCAGGTGCTTCCCGCTGTTTCTTTTGCGACAGTACCACAGTCACTCCCCTCCCTGCACCTGTCCCTGTCTCACTGGCTGACCCCTCTGGGGGCCCAGTGCTTGCTCGTTCCTCCACTGTGCTCCCGTGTCCGGCGGTCCCGTCCGGTGAGCTGTCAGGTCTCCACATCCCCTCGTTCTCTACGAACCTGGTGAGCAACGCAGTCCTTCAGGATCATTGGGTTGACACCTTTACTCCTGGAGGACAGCGTGTGGCGATCTGCACGTGCTCCAAGACTGGCCGCCACCTGGCCACGTTCACACGTGAGCCTGGGTCCAGTCTGTACACCCTCACCACTGTTTCACGCTACACCCCTTTGTCTCCACAGCTGTACGCGTCTGCTCAGGTAGCTACCCAGTGTGAGTGTCGCCGCCTATCGTACGACACTCTCCTGTGGCACCACCACCTTGGTCACCCCTCCTT